ATTAATAGAGATTCAGCTCTCTGGGATCTCTTACGAGGACTAATGTGAGAATTGTCATTTAACTTCCTGAAAAGCAATTTGAAATTACTTGACTGGCACTATAAGTAGCCACAAAATATCTGTAGTGTACAGTCATCCTGAGGCAGAAAGCACAAGCTCCTCCAGTGCTGGAATTGTTGTGCTAGTGCCTTTTAAATAAAATTTGAAGAAGGATAAAGGCACTGAAATGTTTGTAATTGCACAAAGAATAGTGAGAAAAATGAAAATGAGGAAATCAATCAAATAATCACTATTAAAGGATACTTTCATGTACTGCAGGCATCACTGCAGTACTCTATCAACAACTATGCTTAATAGGAGGAGATAATACTGTGGTTGTTTAGATTGCAAGTGAGAAAGCAAGAACTCCTGACTTAGGAGCCTAGCACATTAAGCACTCTGTGGATCAAAACCATGGTCTGTGATAGAATAATTGTATTAATTTTGTATTACACAAAATTAAAATCAGGCATGTGTTGGAGCATATGGCAATTTCTGCTAATCTGCATCTCTGTTGTGTTTGCCCCCAGACCATACTGGTTGCGAGCAGCCTCTTATATGGTGTTTTGTGCTCTCTTTTAAAACTTTTAATCATGGCTGTTTTCAGAGAATTGCACTTAATTTATATTCTTCTGATATTATGAAAATGGAGATTTTTTTAATCATATAATAATCCTCCAAATAAATTCATCTAGGACAAATAACTGATCTTTCTTCATCAAATATCACTCTAGTGTGTATCCCTCTAATTCTGTGAAAGACAAATGGACAACAAGTTTGATATAAAATATATTTTCTGTAGAACTGCCAACTTCCTTCCTTACATTTTTTGTTCTTGACAGTGTTTCATAGGTTTTTTGTTGTTAACTTATGAATGTCACTGTCTTCTTTGGGAAGCTACCTAATCTATCCCAGTATCTATCCCAGTGCTGCAGACCTGCTTTTGTTTCACAGGGATTTTGATGTTACTTTCCACAGCACACTCTGTAAGCTTTAACTCCATTGATTTTCTTTTCAACTGAGTAATCCATACCTTGCTGTAGTAAACTGAACTACCTTGTGTTCTCTCACAATTAGCTTCCCTCTTGCCTATAAGGGCTGGATCTGGAAGTCTGCAAGTCAGAAACATGAGCTACTTTTTGAAAACGGTGATTTTTTTTCTAATCTAGTATATGCAATTATTTGTGCTTAAATAAAATAAGGTTTAGATTCAGAAAGTGGCTGCCATAGAGGTTTCTAGAAGGACTTTCCCTCTTGAAAGACACACAGTACTGCACATGGGCAAAGAATTCATTAGGACACAGCCTCCTTCTCACAGGTTGTGCTGCAATTAGCACTCCAAGTTCTGAGAAACAAGCTTAACTATTATAATATGATAATTTCTAGTTACTGGTCAATGTCTCTTCTTGACCAAAGCTAGCATTGACTTGGTATGACCAAAGCCATTGTTGACCCCATAGGATGCCTCCTGTGAGTATAGAAAAATACCGTATGAGTCTCTTGCCCCTTATTCTAGGTTTCTCAATTATATCCCTCAATGACAAAGCCACAGATACCTGGCTGTGTCTCAAAGGCATTAAATTCCATGCAACCAGGCCCACAACAAAGCCTCAAATACTTGGCTCTGATGGACGGTGTTATAATGAGGGTGGAGCTCAGTTCAGTGGCCAATTTATTGCATCTTAATGTTCTAACATGCTTTCATTTCATATCTAGGACAATAAATGCTGCAGTAAAGTTTGGTTTAAAGCAGGTCTGTTTTGCAAAATGAGTCTCGCATATGAAACAAAACACTCTTTGTTGCTTTACTGTTTAAACCTTTATTATTGCTTTTTTTCTCTGGTACAATGGGCTTTTATGCACCAAACAGCTGTGTTCATCATGTTTATTTAGAAGGCATCCATTGTAGTGGAAAAAGTCTGGAGGACAAAAATCTTGGTGAAGTACAAGACCACTCTGTGGGTGCTGGCACTTTTATTTTTTTCTGTCCTGTTCCTTTGGTCAGTATGCAAGTCACATACACAGGCACTGCCATGCAGACTTTCAAACCTGGTATAATAGCAACTTTTCACAAGTGCTGTCTCTTATTCCAAGTGTTGTCCTCCAGAAATTTTCAATCGCAAGGCAACATAGAGGAGGCACGACTATTTTACACACTATGATCCTATCATTTCTCAATCTGTTGCTATTTTGGCCCCTCATTAGGTCACTTTCCAAATATTGTGTACAGCTATGTGTCAATCATTGTCACAGCTCAGCTCCAGCCTAAGCCAACCCAGGACAAAACTCTGAGGGGAAAAAAAAATGCCAACCAAAGCAAGCACCGTGTAGAAAACAGTCAACAGTTTAACTGTGGAAAGCTATGTGTTGTTCCAAAGATAGCATAAGCCCACTTGATGCAAAAGCAGCATACAGTACTAATGTGCTCCAGAATAATTTTACGCAGTTGAAATATGTTGTGTATACCCAATGGCATGTGCAAATAAACAGATGTTAGAATCTCAAGAATTAAGAGCATGACATTGTCGGAAACTCTTGGGTGGCTCCTGCCAAAAAGAAGTCTAGTTTCCAGTTTCTGGAAAGAACAGAGCACCTAATATGTTGACAGAACTTTTTCTGAACAACAGTATCTCTAGCACCTTCTAAACCCTTGAATGAAAGCTGCTGTATAAGCAGGCAGTGTTAGCCTGGGCAACTAAAGGGTTCCTCACTTCCTTCAGGGTATATCCAGAAGGGTAAAAGCACTCCCATGTCCCCTTCCCTCTTTTCAGGTTACCATGCAGTAACACATAGTTCAAGTAAATACTGGAAACATACAAGTGTCTCTATCAGCCACATAATCAATGCTACTGTTACAGGCTGGAAAGTGAACTGCAACAAACAAACGTGCTTGAGCTTTTAAAAATATTAAAATATCTGTATAGAATGAAATGGCTTCTTTCCTGAATGCTGAATGCTCTTGGCTTTCTACAGAGCCAGCATTCTCAGTTATTGTTGTTCAAGTGCCTCAGAAAACTGTAACGAAGTTAGAAAGAGCAGAATAAAGTTGCATCCATACAGCATATGGATGATAGGAATCCACTCAGAAATGCAGCAAAGGTGACTCCTGGGATGCAAAAGCAGTGCAGCTGGGGGGGAGGCTGCAAAGGGGCTGACTACATGGAGCTGAGGAAGGGGGAAGGCCTGGCATACTAGGGAAACGAATTTCCAGAATAAAGGAGAAAAGTTTTGGGGAAAAAAAGTGGAAAGAAATGTAAGCCAAGTGGAAAGGGAGTGTGACAAAAGGATTAGCCTCTACTTGCACACAGTATAGTAAAAGCAGAAAATGACCTCTGAGAACTGTGAGGGAAAGAAAACTGTTTCTCAGAGACTGTTTCAAAGGCTTCCTGAATGCAGCCTCCATTTACTTGTTTCTTCCTTTTTCTCCCAGGAAGAAAAAGGACCCGCTGTGAGCAGAATGTATCCCGACCTGAAAAAATACAGTCTTGAACGAGTCCCACTCTGGAATCCATGCAAGGCCAGACTCCTGGAGTCTTATTGCTACCTGGACACCACAAATCTCATAAGCCAAGCAGAAAGGGGCAAAATCTACAATTTGTTCCCAACAGGTAGGTAGCTAATAGTTCAAACTGCACCCCTTGCTAGTCTTTTTCCAAAATCAATGTGCTTGCCGAGTCTGTGTTTTTAAACAAGATGTGCCGTGTTGACCTTAATAAGATTAGGTACATCAGTTTGAACGGGTTGCAAACTATATACTCTCAAAAACAGTGCCTATTTTGAGACTTCATGTGCTCTGTGAAACTCTTAAAGACTTTTTAATTAAGTGGAAAAGAATGTGTGTGTATAACTCTGGATCTTAACTGCTAGCAGCTATAATGTGACACCAATTGGGGAATTTGATTTGGTTTTAATTAATAACCCCATGCCTTTGCTGACAGAACAGGAATGTGTATTTTGACTATTTCAAATTGATGTTTAACATAAATGGCGCTGGAAGAACTCTGAAATGTCATTCTGTGGGAAGTGCCAGAGCAGGCTGGGATGCATAGTCCATCTAACCCTTGTCAAACAGAGCCACCGTTGAATGCCTCCGGCAAGAGACCCACAGTAGCGTGCAAAACTGTAGTTGGATCTTTTCTGGAGAGGCTGTGAGCTGTGGTGTGTGAGGTGCCACCTTGCAGTGTCTCTGCACATGTGAAATCCCTCCAATGCAGAAGTGCTTGACCTCAACAACTTCCTGTGACAGAGAGTTCCACAGCGAATTGTCTTCGCATACTCTAGCTTTTTAGCTTCCTTCCCTCTGGTTCCATTTAGCCTTGTTCTTGCGTTATGAAATGCGCACACAACTTTTTTCACTGCTTTTGTCACGTTCCTGTTCATGTTTCTTCCTTTCAAACAGTGCCGGTCTCATCTCTCTTAAGCTACACGTATTCTCATACCAAGCTTTGTAAATATCACTTTGAAAGAAAACAAACAAACAAACAAACAAAAAGGGGGCGGGGGGGGGTGGGTGGAGGGGCGGTGGTGGTATTTTTGCACGTTGTGACGGATGTAGCACTTTCTGCCGCGTCCTGCCTCTCGCCCCTCCGGCCGCGTCCCGGCCGCGCACGGGAAATCGGTGTAACCATTGACCAGACTGTCAACACGGGCGCCCCGCGCCCCGGCGGGCGGCGGGAGGAGGCGGCGGCTGCGCCAATGCCGCGGCGGCGCCTCGCCCCGGCCCGTTAGCGGGACGGGCGGCGGGGGAGCGCCCGGCGGGAAGGGGCCGGGAAGGAGGAGCAGGAGCGGGAGCCAGCGCGGCCGGCCGGGCCGAGCGGGGCGCGGAGCGGAGCGGGGCTGCCCCGTGCCGCGGGCGGGCTCGGTCCCGGCTCCGGGAAGGGGGCAGGAGGCTGCCGAGGCATCATGGCGGTTGTGTCCCGGGGGGGCCGGGGGCTGCGCGCCGGGCGGCGGGGCAGACTCACCTCGCTCCGCTGGAGCTGGAAGAAGCTGTTGAGATAGCTGGAGCTGAGCGAGGAGCTCAGCTCCGGGGTGCTCTTGGTGTAGCCGAGGTCGGGGTGCTGGGACGAGGAGGGCTCGGGTCTGAAGGCATCGAAGGCGCTGGCCTGGTGCGTGTCTTGTAGCGAGAGATAGACCCAGTTGAGGAGCTGGGCGGGCTGGTACACGGACGCGGCGCTGGTGTCGATGGTTGACAACAAGCTCATCTTTCCCCCCGGCTCTGCCGGCGCGGCTGGCCCCGCGGTGCTGCTCCCGATCCCCCCGCTCCGGCAGCGCCGCTCTCCCGTCCCTGCCCGGGGCGCTTCCTCCTGGCCGCCCGAGGAGAGGACGGGACGGGCCGGGCCGGGGGCTCGCAGCCGCGCCCCGCGCCGCTCTCGCTCTCCTAAGGCCGGCGGCGCCCGCCCAGCCCCAGCGCTCCGCGCAGCACGGGCATCGCTGCCGCCGCCCGCGAGCTCCGCACGAAACTTTCTGCGCGCTCCCTCCCGCCGGCCCGCCCGGCCGCTGCCTGCCCCGCTATCTGTCTTTATTCCCACTCCCGCAAGGCAGCGGCGGGGAGGGGCTGCGGGCGCTCCGGCGGCGGCGCCGCGCCCCCATAGGCCTCCCGGCCGCCGCGGGGGTGCAGGGGCGTCCCGGCGCCGCTCCGCCCCCGCCCTGCCCCTGCGAGCGGCGAGGGAGGGTGAGCGGCGGAGGTCCCGGGCCGATAGCGGGGGACACCCCCGGCCCCTGGCTGCTCGCCCGCCCCAGTCGCGCCGGCTCCCTTGCTCGCTCCTCGGCCTTTTCCTCCTTCCTGGAGATTTTTGCGCCAAACACGCGCAGAGCCGTCCCGAGGGCTCCTCGCTGGGCCCTTTCGGGCTTGTTTTTAACTCGACAAGTTTCGCTCGAGTTTACCCAGTCCGCCCTCCTCTTTCACTCTCGTGTCTGTTTCTTGCCGGGGCTCAGAGCTCATCACAATCTGAGGTTCACTCTCGTTAAATCTCTGTCAGAACTCCAGTTTACGAAGCCCTGCGCGGCCGCTGAGGTTGTGCCAAGCCGGTGCAGAGTGAGGGTTTCCCAAATAAGGCAGGCAAGCGGCGCGATGTTCCCTTCGAAATCCTTCTAGGTAGCCCTGGCACAGGCTCTTGGGGAGCCTGGCTGTGGTGGGATACCCGGGAGTTAAAGCTGAGTAGGCCTTTTAAGGAGTCGGTAGCACAAAAGAGGATGATGAATGATTCTTCTTTTAGGAAGGAGACTGAGTGGGTGAGCTGGTAATTACAGTTCATAAACTCTTCCCTGCTGCCTTTCCTGCGATGAGAGGAACAGGACAGCTATTTCTTGCTTTGGTACAAACACCGTAGCAATCAAACTAGGAGTTTTCAAAGAAGCTCCCAGGAGGTAACTTAAGAACTTGAGCATAACTCCTCGTGCTCTTTCCTGAGGGACAGAAGGCTGAAAATTAATGTGCCTTTCCAGTACAGTGTTGGGGGGGGGAATGCCTTCTTTACTTAGATAACAGAAAAAAAATCAGACCTTTGAAACATCAAAGTTGGCATCTCAGTTTGCTGTAATGAGCACTGCGTCTCTGCTGAGATAGAAGAAAAATTGCTGTCCTGAAAAGGCATGGTTACAAGCAACAGAAAATGCAGGTCAGTGTACACACAGTAGAAAATACTATTAAATTGTCAGCTGCAAATACCTAAGATGGATGTATTTAACTTTTGAGAGCAGGTAGTTAAGGCAGCACAGCTATCTGCGTGCAAGAATTTAAGTGAAGATTCTAACTTACCAGAAGTGCAAGGTGAGGTGCAGTTTGGAACAGCTCATTCAAACTCAATTCCTTTAGTGGGGCTAATATATTATTTGAGAGGTTTTAGTGATGAAATCCTTGCAGCATGAATGCAGTTTGCTTACAAGTTCTCTTGGTTTAGAAGCCCTCTGGAGCACATCTAAATGTGTGGGCATCAGCACGAGAAGGAACAAGCTACACCAGTGTAAAGAGTAGCTCAGCAACTGTCCGAAGCATAGACCATAAAAGAAGAATTCAATTACACTGCATCCCAAACTCAGTGTTTTAAAGAAGCAAAAAGATCCATGAGGCTTAGTGAGTTAATAAATTGTGGGGGAGGATTTTTCATGATTTGCTGGTAAATGAAAAAAGAACAAGAAATAGATATCACTCTTGAGGAACTTGCCTTTCTGACAGATGGTGGTAGAAAAGTCAGGATATGGTAGAAAGCCTAGAAGGGGAAACTAGACTGCATGTTTTGTTGCTGTGGAAGTTTTTTGTAAGCATGCTAATTCCTTCCTTAAAGACAATTTCTATTCTTATCACTTCTCTCTTTTACTTGATAAATTAAACTGAAATGTGTGTATTCTTATTTGACAGCTCCACTGTTCACTCTGTTTAGTAAAATGCTGTGAAACAAATGGGAGTTCTGAACAAGAAGAAAAGATAACATGACAGGGTTCTTGTACTAATAGAGGTCAAAGAGTGTTTTGGATGAAGAGTGTTTGGTGTATTTTGATACTTTTTTTTCCCCAAACTAAATATAGCTCCCATAGTATGTGGTTATTTTGATTGCTTTAGTTATACAATGCAGTAAAGATTGCAGCGGGGCAAGGGAAGGCAGAATTAGGGTGTGTTTATTGCAGCAGCCCTTTATGATGTGGGGGACACCATGTGCTCCACCAGATGCATTTGAACCATTTAAAGCTTTTGGCTGTGATTGCCCCTTGACAGTAGCCCTGGTGGCTTCTAGTAACCATGCAGAAGAATGAGAAAATTGAATATGGTTGGCATATCAAGAAAGGGAAAGTTTGCATATGCTTCCACTATGAAGAGCTTAAATAAAAAGCACCCACACTTTGAGGTTCAGTTGTCATCCTAGTCTACTGCTGCAGTTTAATACTGCTCATAGCTGAGCAAAATGCTCCTGTCACACTTGCTGCAGTCCACTTAAGTTCCAGATAGCAATTTTTTCATTGGAAGTTCCCTCATCACCTTTAGGAGTCACAGATTAGGGAGGAGAAGACAGATATAAACGGTCCATTTAGCAGATAAGTGACAGTAGAGAAAAAGTTGTCAAGGTCAATTGCATCTATTCTTCTGAAAAATACTTGAGACAAAACTGCCCAACAAGGCAGTCTGGTGACTGGGAAGAATCTTCAAGATGTGCACAGTATTTTGCTGTTGATTATGCTGGGATGGAGTGGAAGTGACATCAACTACATGGATTTTACATCAGCCTTATGGTGCCTTATGTATCTGCTTGGTTTTATTCATGAGTGGTGCTAATGAAGTAAAAAAACCAACTAGAACTCTAACATGGAACTTCTAATAATGTGAATGGCTTTAAGTGACTTGGAAAATAGGAGCCTTGAAACAGGTCAAAGGCAAACACAGAGATAGGATTCAGCTTCTTCAGTCTCATTCCTGTAGTGGATAATCATGTAATTTATCCAAAATCTCCTTGTAACTGCTCACTCAACCTGGTCCTTTAGTGATTTGGACCTCTTGTGGCTGCTGTCTTTCCATGGCATCTTTGCAATAGTGAGGAACGTAATTTTCCCCTTCTGGTCAGGGCTTGTTTCATAATCTAATGTAGTTACGGTCTTGCTTTCAGTGTTCATAACTTTAGATGCTGTCAGCTTTTACACTACATATGTGATTTTTTTTTTTAAGAAAATTTTTAGGGTTCTCCATACTTTAAAAATGAATGTGCCCTAATACCAAGTATCCTGGATTCTCATGCTTTTAAAGGTTTCTGAATTGCTGTCTTCTTAGTCATCTTCTAGCTTAGATAGGGCTCCTGAAGGAAAATAGAACGAATACCCCAAAGTGCCAATAAGACTAGAGAAAACAGGTAACTTGAACCCACCACTGTATTCCCTGGGTTCTGTAATCAGGATATACATAATGCAGTGGGCCATTCATCTGCAGTTTAGCTGGAATATTCCAAGCAAATGTTTTTCATCTGCTGCAGCAGAGATTCTTATCTTATTATGAAATAATTTTGCTATGCAGTGGAAACAGTGTGTAAGCACTCTCTGAATTATGAGAAACTCATTTCAGCAGAGTTGTAAACTGTGAAAGTACATCTGCATGTGGCATTTGTGAGTTATGGATGTTACAACCTCTTGTGCTCGCTATGTAGGTACAACAGTTCTACTGCCAGCAATGAAATGGAGCATAAAGCAAAGTTTGTCAAAGTGAGTCTAGGAAATCCATGTGCTTGGGTATGTTACACCATGGATTTTTGCATCTATCTCAAGGATCAGCTGCAACCCAGTGCTCAGGTAGAAAAATAAAAATTCCTGTTTTCTTCCTCTAAGCTTTGACACAGAAAATTCTGGAAATGGATAGATATGAACATATAGCTCATCCATATGTAGAATGTTAGTAAATATATACCATATGCAATAACGTTTTGCTGTGGATAGTGTGTGAAGCACAATTCCTGCAACACTGTCTCAAACCACCAAGTGGGTAATTGGTGTAACAGATCCTCTTGGAGCATGCAGATTTTGCACCTGGCCAGTTTGTGGTTTCAAGTCTTGGGGCCTCTATGTTAAGATGTCAGTGCCTTGCTGAGTAATTGCGTGAAATATGCCCTGGATCTGAGTAGCTGTGTGAGAAATATTGGTTTGATTTTTGCATTGTTTTGCAAAGCTTCCTGTAGACTCTTCAGCTGCTGCACAGGCATCAGAAATGTGCTGTTATTTCAGTTTTGAAAGGCAGTAGCTCCTTGTTTCTCGTACTGATCTACAAGTTGAGCATCTCTCTATAAAAATAGTATCTTAGAGGTATCTTAGCCCTTTTACTTAGCCCATCCTAACCCCTTTCTCTTGTTTGACCCAAGAATCCAAGAGAGGGGGTCCAAGGAAAAGAGCGCAGGAGTAGAGCAGTAGCAGTTAGGGAGAAGAGGGTGCAGGGGAGGCCATCTGCCTTACCTGGCAGTGTTTGTGTTGGAACTGCTGCTGATTGTGGCTTCTCCAGCCAGAGAAATGATAGATAAGTGAGGAAACCCAGGGATTTTCTGTCACCTGGGAATCTCTCTAAGCTGCCTTATGATGCAGGAGACCCTTTACTGAGGGTGTTTCTGAAATGGCCTCAGTGCTTTGTAACTGGCTACTGGCTGAAGAATTAAGTTAGGTGTTATTTCTGGAGCCCCTTAAAGACCTTGATGTTAAAAATAAATGACTGCCCAAGGAAGGAAAGGATGACCCTTTATTTGACCTTTTGGGGAATGCATGGAGGATTTCATTTGTACCTTTTTGTTTATGCCTTTACTGTGTGTAGTGTCTCCACCCATCTGCTTCTTTCATTAAATCCATGGTACAGCAAGCTCCAGGACCCAGATATAGTGCTTAATTGTATAATAAATTGCCAC